TGACGAGCTGTCTTTCGCGAACTTTTCGAAAACAGCTCTTTGGCGCTCTACATGCAGCTACCATGAGCCGCTTCCACACAGAGAAGAACGATCTGTATGGACAGCAGTCAAAGGCTTCACCAAGCGCCGCCGGATGTTCGACAGATCCTTGGTCGCATATAACGTTCGTAATTCGTGGTGAGGTTTGGCTGCTTTGCGCCACCCACCAGGAATTACATAACGGTTGTGTGTAGTAGTACCCTAGCTTTGTTCCTTTCTTCAGCGGGTCTAGCAACCTTGTATTAACATATTATTCTGTAACTACCGGGTGTAGTGCTCAAGCGTTTTTTAATAACGCCGGATGTACTACTCTAGTATTTGTCTTTAAACACCAAATGTACTACTGTAGTAACTGTAGTAATTTTCTTTAAACACCGGGTGTAGTACTCTAGTACTTTCACCATGCACCGTTCAACCAAGTCATGCACCTCGCCCATTTGGGGTACATCCGGGACCTGGTGGCTTCGCTTCTGGTTGAGACCATCAGGTCAGGCGAAATGGCTGCTTTCCTGGGCTTCACTGGCAAGCCCGACCAGCTTCTTCACAGGTGGACTGCGGAAGCCCAAACTTGGTGCAAGGATCGTTCGATGGACTGCTCCATCAAACCACTCACGTGGGAGACTTTGCACAGTAGCAAAAAGAGCATGTTCCCTGAGCTCACCAGCCGTATAAAGGCAAGTCGAACCAGAAACTTGCTGGCATATACCGCTCACTACTGCTGTGAACTGGTTTCTTGTCAATGTTGAGTATCATTTTTTCTGTTTTATGTGATGTTTCACCGTTTCACCCATGTCTTAATCGGTTGGTCGGTCAGTTGGTCTGAATAGCTTGGTTTGGTCGGAGGTTTCACGGCTTGTGCTTCGAAGCTTGTCTGCCTACAGTTGCCAATATGCCTTATTGGAAGGTTGGTCGGCTGGTCCTGTTGACGTTAATTGGCGAGCCAAGGAAAAACTCGTGTCTGAAGATGCACCCTCAGATACGGTGCATTGGTCGAGGTGCAGGGCAACCATGGCATGGTGCTTGGATGCAGCCTTGAGTGTTGGGGGAACTGGAAGAAAACCCCACCTCCGTGAACAGGAAATCTGCGAAGCAACCTGGTTGTTCGATACATTTCTTCTGGCCTATGCCCACGCTGCTAGCAGATTCCATGGGATGGGCATTTGCCTCTACAAGCTGCGGCCGAAGATGCACTACACGCAGCATATGGTTTCGGAGCTGTCCTTCAACAAGCTCAACTTTTACCATGCTGCCAATTTTTTGGACGAAGATCATATGAAATTTCTCAAGATTGTTTCGGCCGGTTGTCATGTGACATCTCAGCCTCGCACCTGGGCCCGACGTTATCTGACGAAACAAGTGTTTCTCTGGCAGCAATTGCAACGTGATGCTGGTGCCAAGAGCAAGAAGAAACGCCACTTCGCTGTCAAAAAGAGGATCGATGCTGCATTTCTCGGAACTTGTGCGCCCGCACCATTCAGGACTGCCGAAGACCACCCAAACAGTACGATGCATTCACAGAACATTCCATAGTCCCGAAGCTTGCAAAGGCTCGAAATCAGAAGCCCTCCCCCTCCCCAAACAGGACAATGCCTTCACATAAAATCCCCAAGCTCGTAAATGCTTCAGTACAGGTCCTGCATTCCAAGACCGAACTACAGCATACATAGCTTCGTGTATGCATGGCCGCCCGCGAGCCTCCGTTGATTATTGTGTGCAGTTTGCCCTTAGTCTGCGATTTTCTGCGCCAATACCTTACACCCTCGGAGATTCACACGCTGGAGGGGGCCGCCCGCTCAGTGTCCATTGCACATCGTGAGCATCCGTTGATTACAGTGTGCAGTTTACACTTGGTC